GAACGCTCCTGCCACGTTTCAACGTGTCATGGACAACATCTTGATGGGTATACAAAACGAAAGATGTCTTGTATACATGGATGACATAATTGTCTATTCCCCCTCCATCCAAGAACACATCAGTAGGCTTACCGAAATTTTTACGCGTCTTCGGAAGTCGAATTTCAAAATCCAGCCTGATAAGTGCGAATTCCTCAGAAAGGAAGTAGCCTATCTTGGTCATGTAATAACCCCTGATGGCGTTAAGCCCAATCCAGATAAAGTGGATTGCATAAAAAATTTCCCTAAACCCAAGAATCCTAAAGAAATAAAATCTTTCTTAGGTCTTGCAGGTTACTACCGACGCTTTATACCAAACTTTGCCAAAATTGCGAAACCCCTTACCAGACTATTACAGAAAGACGCAGTATTTGACTTTGATAGCGAGTGTGTTAAATCATTTGATACTTTAAAAAATGCTTTAACAACATCTCCTATACTGATCTACCCCAACTTTGAAGAGCCTTTTGTGCTTACAACAGACGCAAGCGCTTTTGCGATATCTGGCGTTCTTTCCCAAGGTCCCATAGGTAAAGATCTCCCGATAGCCTATGCATCTCGTACACTTTGTAAAGCAGAAACGAGATATTCCACCATTGAAAGAGAACTTCTAGCTATTGTCTGGAGTGTAAAACATTTTAGACCTTATTTGTATGGTCGAAAGTTTAAACTTGTAACAGACCATAGACCCCTTACGTGGCTTTTCTCTTGCCGAGACACCGGAAGTAGATTAGCAAGATGGCGCCTCAAGCTAGAGGAGTACGACTATGAAATAGTGTACAAGCCAGGCAAGGCTAATAAAAATGCCGATGCCCTATCACGTATCAAATTATCCAAAACTGTTAATGCCCTTACCCATAGTGACGAAGAAGGAGAACCTTCTACCCAATTTTCCGAAAGTGAATTTGATATCTTTGCCCGCCTTTACAAAACCACATCCCTGATCGATTATTCCAAAATTCAATTTTCAAATTCCCAACTCCTAGACAAAAGTCATAAACATATCGTCACGTTTTTCAGACAAAACACTCTATCTGATCTTCACGAAAAAATTATCGAAGACATATTCGAGGAAAATCTTGATTTTTCTGCAGATAAAATTAACATCGCGTCTAGCAAAACAATTAAAGATAGAAAATACTATATTATTCCTGTGCCATACGATCCCGTAACTTGCATACAGCATCTTTTCCTTGTAATTTTAACCAACAAAGGTGTATTCGACCTATCCCAACAAATCTACGTTGAAAATAATTTGGACTTACCCATTTTAGAAATTTTCTCTTTTACTTTTTCGGATGATAATATCAAACTTGTCGTTTGCCAAAACGTCACCAAAACTCCTAGTCCCGATGAAATCCCCGTCATTTTAGATCAATACCATTGTGGTAAGAAAAACATTCATCGAGGAATTAATGAAACAATTAGGCGAATTCGTGAACGATATAATTGGCCCGGCTTAACTAAAGACGTTGAGCATTTCATCAAAAAATGTGAAATTTGTCAAAAGACCAAAATTTGTCCTAAAAACCTCAGTGCCCCTTTTGTAGTAACTGAAACCCCTAAAGCCCCGTTCGAAAGAATCAACATTGACATTTTGGAAGTCCCACCTAAATGCTACGCGCTCACAATCCGAGACGAGCTAACAAAATTTTCTCAAGCCTATCCAATTAGCGACAAATCTGCAAAATCTGTAGTAAATACTCTACTTTTCTATTTCCAACATTATGGTACACCTCTCCGAATACACTGTGATTACGGAAAAGAATTTGACAACGCCCTCATGAAAGACCTTTGTAGTCTTTATGACATTAAATTAACTTTTTCTAGTGTCAGTCATCCCCAGTCCAATGGCTCGATCGAGCGATTTCACGCCACCTTATTGGAAATGATCAGATCCCATGTATCCGAAAATCCCGACGAACATCCCTTCAATATTCTTCCCTATGCTGTTCAGTGCTACAATAGTACTAGAAATAAAACTACTGGCTTTACACCATACGAGCTCGTGTTTGGCCACACCTCTGGTCGTCCGCCCGAACACGTATATTTAGAAAAAGAATTGATGTCCAAGTATGTTCGAGACATTCGGAATAAACTCGAATATTACTACAAAATTGCCCGCGTGAGAACTGACGAACAGAAGCAAATAGCAAAAATTCGCTTTGATAGTAGAGTGTCACCCAATTTACAATCATATAAAATTGGCGATAAAGTCTTTGTGAAACAGTCTCAAATTTCAAACAAGCTTCAGAACAAATTTGATGGTCCATTCGAAATTACTCAAGTTTTTGAAAATTCTGCGCTCCTTAAGAACCCGGAAACAAATAGAATAAGTAAAGTTAATTTTGACAGACTGAAACCATGTTTTGAGACTTAGTTTCTCTTTCAGGTGCAGTCTGCTGTTTCTTGCGGCTGTCACAGCCCAGATAGACATCAAACCGCTTAACAACACCTTAGGTATCTATTTTCATGAAGACGCCCCTCTTAAGATTTCCAACGAAATTTGGACACTCCTTGTATATAAAGACTTAGATCTCATTAAGAAAGCACTTGACGATAACAACAATATTCTGGAACACTTATCATATCTCGTAGACAAACCCACCGATCGTATGAAAATGTTTAGTGGTGAAATTAAAACTCATACAAGTCTCCTTTATCAAATTTCTCGTTCCTTGGAATTTAAATATTACGCGATCTTCGATGACACTGTAAGCGCATCGCGGATGAAACGCGGTCTGATTAACGCTATAGGTACTGTATGGAAAGCAATAACCGGCAACCTCGATTCATCGGACGGTGAATACTATAACGATTGTATTAACAAAATTTCTAAAGATGAACATGAGCTCGAAAACCTCATGAAGAACCAAATTTCTGTTACCATGTCGGTTATCAAGAATTTTAATAACACTATTCAAAAACTTATGATTGATGAAACTACGTTTAATGAAGATATTAAGGTCATTGAAAACAAAATTTATGAAATTTCAGACGATCTTGCATTTTATGAAGCTAAATTCCAATTTTTAGAAGTTTGCGAACAATTAATGGAAAGCTACATGTTTCTGGAAGATACAATTAATGATATTCTAAATTCAATTACTTTTGCACGTTTAAAAATAATACATCCTTCTATTATCACTCCTCAAGACTTAGTAAATTCTCTTCAAGAAATTTCTCACACTTTGTCGAGAAATAATTTACCCCTTCCGGTTAATTTAGCAACAGTGTCAGAGTACCTTAATCTTATGGAACTCGAAGCGTATCAAACTAAAACAAGAGTAGTATTCGTTCTACGCATCCCGTTATTAGAGCCCGAAATGTATACTTTATACAGAGTAATTCCTCTACCCACTCTCGATAAACGTACTGGTTTGTTTCATGTAGTCTCCACTATACAGAGGTACATTGCTAAAGATAGCGTCTCTTTTGTACGTTTCCTTTCAAAACTTAGGTAGTTGTAAAGATCTTCAGTCTCAGGTGAAAATCTGTTTCAACCTCTTGCCGTATCCAATAGACAGTAATGCAGTCTGCGAAGCACAGTTGTTGCGAAATCCGGTCGATCTGCCGACAGCCTGCCAAATAGCAATTGTGGCATTGCAAGATTACAAAATCCAAGAACTTGCAACCAATTTTTGGCTAATCACCATATCTAGCCCTCTGCCAATTACGATGAAGTGTGGACAACGAGAGACTACCACCAAAGTGATAAAAGTTAATTCACTTTTAAAAATGCAGCCCGAATGCAGTGGCTTTGTAGGCACCACGAGATTACATTCTAGATATTCTGTTAGCACCTACAAGAATATCACATACAAAAGTCACCCTGTAGAAGTACCCTACAAATGCTGTGAACATCTCCCAGAGAAACAAAATTTACCAAAATTAAAACCGATCAAGCTAAGCAAGATCGATACTGAAGAACTCGAAATTGCCAATCACAAATTAAACCAATATTCTGAACAACTGGACAAAATTATGAACGAGCCGTTTGTTTCGAGACATCTCTCATGGTTCACGTATTTTATCATCACCCTGTTAGTTATCATCGTAGCTTTGTACCTGTTCTGCAAGTGCAGAAAACGAAGACCACTCAGCATCTGCGCATCAAATTATCCAGCCGATGGCCCATCTCCAGGAGCACCAAAAGTCCGGTACATTCCCAGACTTTTTCCTCGACGTAGACCAACCATCCAGCCACATGAAGAAGACATCGAACTGCAGTGAGTGTTCCGTGAAGTGTTTTCACTGTTCAAAAAAAAAAAACAAACCATTTTCAATTTTCGTGTTATCTTCCATGTAATTTTGCCCGTACGACTGTACGATTGTATCTTATTATTTGTTTGTTCCAGCTTTGCTTTTAGATGTTATTTTGCATCGCCAATGTACCGCATTTATGCTAACAATTTTATTTTTCAGAATCTATATTTTCTGATGTTATTTTGCAATTTTATTATTCCTACTTTTATATTTTTATATTTTACAATGTTTACAATTTACATTTCTACATTTTTACATTTTTGAATTTTTACATCTTTTACACTTTTCTAATTTTGTCAAAAGTTGTCGCATGGCAACAACTTTTTGTAATAGGGGGAAGTTGTTATATGCACTCAAAACAATGGACTTACTATTCCATACAATGTTGCACCAGACGCTAGCTCAGCAAAAGATAACGACTTCTCGCTAACTCGTTGTTTACGCTTTATTTTCTAGAAGTGCTTTGTAAGCACACCAATAGTATAAATAGGCCTTGCGCCCATTTCATGTCGTTCAATACCCGGTTAGACTCCGTAAATGTCACATTTGTAAACCTTTGTATTTTATATGGACTGAAGGTTCAGTCCTCAAATAAATTTTTTAAAAAGTTATTTCTAAATCTAATGATTTAAGATATATATTTAATGACTCAATAGCCTATTTTATGATAAAATATAATAAATTGATAATTTCAGATATTTTGCTCTACTTATGCCTCTAACATTGGCCACAACAGCGATGAGGTCCATAATGCTGCGTGGCTGGGGCTTCGGGTGGTCGGATGTCTACCTTGGATTTATAGCTACATGCGCATGGATCATGACATTTCTGATTATGACATTACTGTTTCTTAGACTCAAGAACAAATGATTATTTGATTTTAATAATGACCCCCGGTAATCAAAATACGAGCCCATAAATTAAATTAAGAAATTGTTCATAAACCACCTGGTTTAGCTACAAACACCTATTTTTCTCAATTGACCCCAGTCGCAAGATTTGCGACGTAGGCGCAAATTCGACCAATCGAGAAGAAGGATTACAGCCCATCTAGCATTTTGTTAAAATTTGATATTACCCAAGAAAAAGATACCAACATTTGACAAATTTTAGTGATCAATTATATCCATGAATGATGTCCTCAAAAGTTGAATTGTCTTGAGAGTTGAATCCTTTGTCAAAAATTGGAAACTGCGTACCAAATTAGCTTTGACCAAGGAGGTTAAATTGGTTGGTTGAGAACTACAGAAAGAAACTTCTAAGAAGTACTTAATTATTGACTTCGAAGACAAATCGACAGGTTATAGCTTACCAAATATTAACATAAGATATGCCCTCAGTGTTAGGTTCTTTTTTGGGCATATTTGTAAGTAAAAATTATCTTATTAATGACCAATAAAAATTCATTTTAAGTTTGCAACATAGATTAGTAAAAAACAACCCTATTGTACAGCTTGAGATTACAAGGATTCTTTTGGTTACCCCCTGCCTCTCACTGATATTTAATGAAAATTTAAGCCGGAAGAGGCCTAAAGTTATTAAAAGAGACCCAACATGCGCATAGATTACCAGCAAGCTGAATGTATGAGCAAAAGGAGCGACATAGTATGTTTCATTTGTTGTTAAACATAGGTCAGACATGTGATTTTATAGAACAAAATTACTACTTTCACCACAAAATAACCTAAATAGTTGTTTATATCCTTCTAAACTACTTTGGTTTTATTCCCCACTTTGAGAAAAAAACCAAAGCTTGGAAGTTAAATTGATCATGCAATATTTTTAACCTATTTTTTGGTCGATTTAACTTAATTTTATAACTTGAAATGTTTGTTTGGAGTTTGTGTCAGTTCGGTCAATCTAGATCACTGATTTTTGTCTTCTTAATAAATTCTTTGAAGATGAATAAAATTACAGAATGCTTATTATTTAACAATTTGGTCGAATCTTCTTTTTGATTGGTGGAAATTGTTTCCTAGTCGCAAATGTTGTGCTCGGGTCAAGTGTAAAAATAGGTTTTTATACGTAAAGCAGGTTATACATGAAGTATTATTTGATTTAAAGCCGAACTGATTGGTTGAATTTGTGCAAAAGGCGGACATTTTGCGCCCCGAACTAGTGAATTCGGGCACTATTGACACAAGTTTTGTTAAATCTGTGTACTTTTGGTTTTAATAAAAAATGTTTTACTCAACTAGTCTAGGTATTTTTAACTCGCCCTGTTTCTGTATGTACCTAAGTATTTCATTCGTCGTATCTTCAAAATTGAAATCCCAGTTTGCCAGCTAATGTCAATATGGAGACACGACCAATGCACTCAATATTTCATGTAAATGTATGACACACATCTTGAAATAATGTATACTTTTGTTCAGTGGATTGTCTACACGTCTATACAAACAAAACCACGAGTACTCATTATGACATATAACAACTTCAAATTGGAATAAAAACAATCGAATGAAGCCGTCATTAACATAATTGGTATTCAAAACTTTTCTCATAAATGATGCCAATTTCACAAGTTCATTCAAAATATATAAGTTTAGATCCGTGTAAGTCCATAATCAGGACATTCATAGCATGCGAGACAGTTAAATGTCTGGAAAGATGACGTATGATTTCAAAGAAATTGTCGGCATTAATGTCAGGATGCTATGCTTTTTTGGAAACTTCTATCCTGAAGAATGGACTTTTCAAAATACGTTTTGGTATGCTATTAGATCGTTCATATGGCTAGGTGAGTATAAAATGACAAGGACTCTACTACTCCTTGAGTATATTATGCTGATTTTTTTGCTTCGGAAATATAAGACAGAGTTCGAATATCCTAAGGTTATGCCCGCTACGTGATAACTTTATACCCTCTCCCTTGCGTTTATTGTACCCTATAAGAATATAGGAAATTGTTGTGACAGTCTCCGGGGAGATTCATGGACATCTGTTAATGCCCTCTTAATGTGTTCCAGTTCTAAGCCTGGCGCATATTTATAACGTAGAAAGCTTAAAAATGTATGTGGTCTGAGAATTGGAGAAGAACCATAGAGTCAGAAGAAGTGTCATAACAGTATTTTTGGATTTGAAGAGGGCATTTGAAACGATTGATAGAGATATTTTGTTAGGTAAATTGAAGGCATATGATATAACAGGAAGTGTTTTAGATTGGTTTAGAAATTATTTGTCTAAAAGGATGCAAGTTACAAAAGTTAATGACACTATTTCATCAAAAATTGAAAATAGGTTTGGTGTTCCACAGGGCAGTATCCTGGGACCACTTCTTTTTATTTTATACATAAATGATTTACCTGCCATAGTCAAAAAATGCAAAATTCAGATTTTCAGATATTCAGACTGGTATCTCTTATATAAATGATGACTTGAAACTTGTCTCAAAATGGTTAGCATCTAACAGACTAAAATTAAATACAAGTAAAACGAAAGCCTTGTTAATCGGAAAAAAACAATGTACAAATGTTCAACTGAATATTGATGGTGAAGATATTGAATTCGTAGAAAATTTTAAATACCTGGGGGTTTTTGTTGACCCTCGATTCATTTTTGATATTCATTATGAAAAAGTTATAAATAAGATTAGTAGTAAAGTGCGATATTTATCGAGAGTTTCTGGATGTCTGAGTTCATATAGCAGAAAAATTATCTATAATACCATCATTCTTCCAAATTTCTTGTACTGTTCGACTATTCTATATTTAGCAAATAGTTCCATTTTTGAAAGACTGCATATTTTACAAAATAAGTACATGAGAATAATACTAAATAAAGATAAATATACCCCAATTAGGCAAATGCTTAGCAAATTAAAATGGCTCAATGTAAAAAATGTTATCAAATATCTTGTAATGATATTCATTTATAAAGTAAAAAATAATATATGTCCATCAAGTCTAACTAATTTAACATCATCAAATGTTGACCATCATTTACATAATACCAGAAATAAAGATGATTTCCATTTAATGACCAAAAAGTATAACATATGCTACAAATCTGTATTCCATCAAGGGTTGATTGAATATAATAAATTATACTCAGAGATAAAAGACCAGAAAACTTTGACAAAATGTAAAGTAAAATTGAGAAATCACTTGTTAAAGCTACAATTATAGGTTGCCCAGCATTTACATCATACACCACATGGCTTGAATTTACTAGTTCTAAGTTGTTTACAATTATTCGGTTTATGTAGCCAAATGTGCTAAATAAATCTTTCTACTACTACTTCAATGTCCAGAAATTCTGTTGCAGTTGACGCTGTTAAGGGACTTCCCACTCCTTCTAAACCATAGGCGGAACGTTTTTTAGTATTTGAATGAGCAAGTTTCAGTTAGGATTGTTGATGTTTGTTCGATTTCTTTTACCATAGCATATTTTGTATTTGATTGTGTTGAAATTATTAATAATCTTATGGAGTTTATCGATATTTGGTGGAGATCCATTATTCAAAGTTAAACAATAGTAAAAATGTCCACTATATTACAATCTACATGACAAAGGTGCCTTTTTCAAATGAGTTTACAAACTCAACTTATGACTAACGGAAAGGCTTATGTATCTATTACAGAAATACTTATAATCTTCAAGCTACTTACGCACGGAGAGATGTAGCAACGGGATTATTCAAATATATTTGATCGTACAACAGATGGCCGGTCTTATTAAGTCTATTAATTTCTAAGGACTCCAGGTAGTTCAGTTTTAAACGTCTAATTTGTGTATGTAGTATTTCATAATTGTCGTTAACCCTATGGTTTTCTTCATTTAGATGTATTAGGTTGTTTCACAGGTACATATAGACAACCTCACAATTTCTTAAACCAAATTAATACTATTGTTCAATTTTAAATTATTAATAGCTTTAATCGAGTGCTCTAAGCAATGTCCGCAAAAGAGGTTGGCGTGAAAGGAAAGGCAATTGGGAGTCAAGGACAGGAAATTATTAACAATATCACTAACTTATGATACAGGAAAGTGTAGAGCATTGATTCCCAAAGTGGTCTATGTCGACCCCTAGGGGTCTATGCAACCTGCAAGGGGTCTACGTCAGCGAAAAAAAATTTGGGGGTCCATGAAATTAATATGGGGGTCCACGATAGTGGATCTCAACACATACACTGATAGTCCCTATTAACTTACATCATACTATCTTATAATATCAAAACATATACATTATTTATAAAAGTACCTATGAAGTAAAAAATTTATTATATATGTTTATAAAATTGTGTAAGTTGTAGGATGTTGGTATTCGCTTTGTGGTCGCAATACATTTTGAACTTGTAAAAACCTGAGAGTCGCAGTCTCAGAGCTTCGCTACCTTGCACTGACTTGTTCAATTCGTCACTCTATAAATACGAATGTGGGACAAATACGTTTATTCGTTTCCTGAATCTTGAAAAGGAAAGTGCTAAGAAAATATTTTAAAAAATATAAACAGATAGTATATCACACAAATTATAGTGAGTCAGTGTTATTTTGTTTGAGAGTGCTGGAGAAAAGTAAGTACATTATTTTTTATTAAATTTTAGTTTTGTACTCGTAGTTAGCAAAGATAGATAAATTACGCCAATCATGACTTTAGTTATTAGTAGTTAAATATTCAATCATGCAAAATTACACGAGTACTCCTCAATAGTTTCTTTTTGAAAGTTTTAGCAATCGGTAATATAATTACAGTGCAATCTCCGTAATTCGATCTAATTGTTGCAAGAAGATGTTATGGAATGTTTTCTGAAAAATCAAAAAATATTTTTAATATACAACTGCTGGATTTTTTGTCTTATTTAAATAATTTAATTTTGCCCACAGATGACTGATGCCATGTCCGAATCTAAAAAGAAATGTAGACAGTACAGTGTTGATTATTTGAAATTTGGCTTCATTCCATCATTGCCGGACAAACAATCTCCTATGTGCCTTTTATGCAACAAAGTTTTGGGCAATGACGTTATGAAACCATCTAAACTGCAAAATCGTCTGAGAAGATGCCACCCTGATAAAACAGAGAAAGATTTGAAATACTTTCAAACACTCAAAGATAAATTTCAGAAGAGACCTACACTGGACAGAATGTTCGCTTCGACGTCACAAAGAAATGATGATGGTTTGCGGGCGTCTTACAATATCTCGTTACTTATAGCAAAATTCGGAAAACCGCATACTATCGGAGAGAAATT